AGATTAAATTCAAAATGTTGAATTTTATTCTTTTGGAACGCTTTTATCTAGTAATGTAGTTAACTTAGTAGTTACATAAAGATATTTCTTTTCAGTACAGTTACATGGAAGATGTAAGGCGATGTATATGTTCCTTAATGAAATGGGAGTCTATATTCCTTAACTTTATACCGATGTGTAGTATTTGTGTGCTCTACTTGCTAATCCTCTACACTATCTTACAGAGGGGGATCTCAGCTAACACCGTAGTTATTTCAACCTCAATCATTGTTCTAACTGGAGTTCTAACGGCTATACCAGGTGTTTTGTTTCAAGTTGTCAGGATTCCTATGAGGTATGAGGTTAAAAATGTGTTGCTGGTCACTGTGTATTATGTTAACGGAATTATAAATCCGTTGGTTTACTTTTGTTTTAACCCAAGAGTACGGGAGCAAATAAGAAAGACAACCACCAGGACATCTAGACTGTGGAGACGTAAAGTCGTGATCAGGGTCAACGATCATCAAACCAGAACTCATCCTACAAAGAAATTCGAAACGTCACAATTATGATATCGATTCGTTTGTATATTTAACGAATGAACTGAAAACCCTGGATTGAAGCCAGGAATGACTACGTGTTTGGATCTCATGATGACACGTCACCGAGGGCTGAACTGTAGCGAGGACATCAAGACAGTGGAGATGAAAACTCATGATCAAGGTTGAAACTATGATCTAACCGGAACTCATCCTACAAACAAATTCAAAACGTCTCAATTATGATATAATCCATATCGGATCTTGATGTGTATTTAACAAATGAACTGAAAACCTTGGATTGGAGCCAGGAATGATTGCATGTTTTGATCTCATGACAATGACACGTCACCGATAGCCACGTACTGTAAATCTATGAAATATTCGTGAAGACAACTAGACAACAAAGGTGTGGGATGAAATAAGAAAGCGAGTAAAAAATAAGACACATTCGATTTTCAATTATAAAGCTTCCCTCATTAAATTAACCACCTACGCACAACCGAACATCCCGTTGTTTCCTAAATTTCTGTTTGAATGATTGATTACTGATAAGTAAGGAAGTAAAACTGTTTGAATTCATATCCAATTTTCATTGTTCTAATTATGTTTTAAATTATTGACTGCTTGTACCGAACGTTTAGAATTAGCACTGTTGTACTAAGAAATATATCGGACTAAAAGTTAAGTAGACTAGGAATATCAAACTGAAAAAAGATTTATGATAACAGAATCAAGATAAATATTCTGAGAACCATCTCACAAAATCGAATAAATAAATTGCTAAAATAAGTGATCTGACGCTATCTATTACGCCCTATTACTCTGATATAACGTTCATTATCTCGTTGTCAATCAAGATAAAAATGTCGTTGAAATCATCCGATTCGAACATACAAATTCAAGCACGATTGTGAGGAAGATGGAAATACACTGTTTTATACGTGTGGTCGAGAATGGGAATTGTAAACAGTATTAATCTCAAGCTAGGAAAATGTGCTTTGAAGATATATTAAATACGCACAATTGTACAATTGCACAGTTGCACATGTGATGAGGACTATAAAACAAAGCACCCTATATATGTATAAACATTAAACATTGCTACATACAATCATCCACCGTTCATATTGTTAAAGATACCACGACATAAAACTACACCAGAAAAGTTTTTTATAATAGTTACTATCTCATTAACACGATCTGAGATCTAACCAGAGAATTATCTCTCTTAACCTCGACGCCATCTCTGTTCGGGATATCGTAGAACCTCTCGTGAATAAAGCCAGGCCCACCATCGCTCCGAACAGCGCCACTAGGTGTGGACGCTGATCTCAGCTGTATGGTGTGATGTCTTGTTCCGAACCGGCCTATCCTTCTGTTATTTTGAGATTTGACGTCTGTAAAATTACTGTGCGGAAGGAGAGAGGTGGAATTGGAAATAGAAGGCAGAGCGTCCTGATAGAAGAAGTTGGGCTGACTGACAGGAGAGTGTCCAGAAGTCGGGGGTCCGAGAGTGCGGATATGATCCAGGTCGATGTAGCGAGGGCTAGAGTTAGAGTGCAAGTTGTAACCAGTGGAGTCAGAGTGGGGATAAGGGTGGTCTAGGGATTGGGATTTGTAACTTCTGTTATAATGGATTGTGCCTCCCTCGTCACGAACACGTTTCAATACATTCTCAACAGACTCCACCTCGTCAGTCTCTTCTTTAACCCTTTCTTCGCATGTTATCTTCCCTTTTTCCTTCTTTGTACCCTTCTTTTTCTTCTTGCAGATACAGCCCCAACATCTGCTGAGGCATTCTATGACTCTGAGAAGTTTAAAACCAAGTCCCAGCAAGGTGAGCACACCTATTATCTCAGTAACCATGATGAACCCCTCCTTCCAGTTAGTCAGGCCGTTAAACCATTCTAACGGATTCAGATGTTTTGCCCATGTCGAGAGAGACAGAATGCTCATCTTTTCACCTTTCTCATAGTCCACAGCGGAGTCCGGCAGTTCAAAAGTTTGGAGCGGCTCTCTGTTGCATGGGACGGACTTACACTTGGATAAACTGGATTCTGTGTGGAGACAAAGGACTGCTTCCTCGTCCTCTTCACAAATCGTGCTCAGGCGAATGTAGAACACTTTAGTCTTAGGGTTGAATTTATCTATGTTAATCTTGAAAATATCTGCACCTTTATTGCCGTTTGTAACGGTCAGGTTTCCTCTTATGCTCCCTTCGCCCTCAAAAACTGAAATATTGACGAAGTAGTTTGAGTGTTTGTCCATCATAACAGCTCCACTAAAATCGGTAAAATGAGAAATGTCGGATATCTTCTGAATGATATAATCACCCTCAAGAGTTAGGGTTATATCAATGTTGCTATACTGTCTGAAGAAAACCTCCACCCTTCGTTCAGCGTCCATTCTCAGCACATTGGAGAGAGATGTTTTGTACAGGTGACTTAACTCGACTGCGGATTGTTTTACCGATTGTTCAGAATACTTATTGATGAATTGCACGTTCAGATCATCTTTATCACAATTATTTACATCTACACTGAATGAATTCATGACTTGAGTCTTGTCCATTTTGTATTTTTCTTCCACATATTTGAACCATCCCAGCTTTTCTAAGTTGTACTCTGAGAGCGAGTTAATCTCTACACCACCATACAGGGAAGTACCAGAGTCAGTTCCAAAGTACCATCCAGCCTTTAGTGTCGGTACAATAGCTGGAGCATTGACAGTGAAATAGAACGGGTCGAGGATGGGATGTCCTCCTTCAATATCCACCTCACTAGTCTTTGTATTGTGAGAGTTGAGACTGGTTACGGAGAACACAGCACGGTTAGCACCGTTACTCAGTTCTACTGCTCGCCAGATAGTCCTGTTGTGAGGTGAAATGTTGATGCTGCAGCACACTTCAGCGCTGCCTGACAGAAATGCAGTGCAGCCTGAGTTACTTAATCCCTCACGAAACCATTGATAACACTGACCGTTTTTGGAGTTGTACGGCCCTCCCTCCGCGCAGCTGTCCGTCTGGGAACTACAAAAATCTTCCGCACCCGGACAATCACAAACGCACTTCACCTCCGCCTTGGGAATACCAAACTTATACGAATTCTTGTACTGCAAAACACTCTTAACCTCATCTAAAGAGATACCATACCTCTCCCCAGTATCCAGTGAGAAGCACGCAGTTTCCTTGAGTCCCAGAGAGATAGTCACCAGGGTTTGGCGAGTTACTCTTCCTGTTATTCTGTCTCTGGTGGTGCTCTGTTTGTGAAGTATGGGAGGTGATTTGCTGCAGATTACAGAGTATGATGTCTGGATAAGGACAGAGATTACAAACACAGCGAACATGGTTGAGAAATGGTGTGAAATAAAGGCGTGATTGTCAGACAGGATTTTCGCCTTTTGTTCGATTTCCTACATGGACTATTTCAGTTTCGATACTTTAAAATAGCAAACTTTCAATGATGATAGAAGAATAGTAGCTTTATTAAGTCGTTCAAATTTGTAATTTCCTCCTTACTCATACAACGCTAAAATATTTTGAGAATTTGTAACGGTATGATGTAGGATGTATCACAAATGATAAAAAATCACAAATTATAAAAAATCACACTTTACGTTTGTCCCTAGAATTGTCCGATTTCAGTATTAAAAATTAAAACTCTTAATCTTATCAATTCTTCCAAGACTGAATTTGTCCATTTTTATTTAGCAGATCCTAAACCCACAGTTAAACGAAAGGTGATTGTTGGAAAAGTGTATAGAGGTGATGAAGAGTGGCGCTCTAACAAAACTTTAGGATCGTTGATGTGCACTGTTAAGGATATCAAGAATCGAATATTCCTTGGTAATGTTGCCTTTAGTAAATTTCAGAAAGTTTGGATCAAGAGCAAGATTTCAGTCCAAAGGAAGATCAAAATCTACGAGGCACAAGTAGTCTCTATTCTACTCTACAACTGCAACTCCTGGGCTGCACCACTAGCTTCGTTGAATGAACTTGATATTGCTCATCGCAAACACCTCCGAAGAATCCTCAACATCAGATGGCCTACTGGGGTTATTTCTAATGAGGCACTCTATGCTCGTTGTTATGTCACTCCCTTGTCTGTGAGAGTCTCTAAGTTTCGATGGAGAATGTAAGGACATATCTTAAGAGGACAGGAAGACTCACCAGCATACACCTCTATGTTATTTGCTATAAATTCTGATATTTTTGGAAGGGAGACGGGGTAGACCATGTTTAAACTTATTAGATGTTATTAGAAAAGACTTGACTAGTAGAAATCTTGATATTAGACTTAAGAATTTGACTGATTTCGAAGACCTTAGATTTTTGGCTTTAGATAGGGAGGAATGGAAGAAGTTAGAAGATGGTTGATGTTTTTGTTTTCTTTTTTATGCGTTTTGATATCTATAAGGTGCCTAGGATGCTCTTTTAAAGAGATATTTCGTACTTTGAAAGATTTACTACTACAATCTTACTTGTTGTTCGAGAATTTTCCCTTGAACTTAGAACAATCCTCCCACGTGTACACACCCTCCCCGTTAAATGCATTGTCTACAAACGTTCCCTGGAGGAGGTTCATGGTTATTGACTATTAACCGTTCTGCATTTACCTTAAATTTGCGGTTTTACTGGATTATATGAACTGCAATAATAATCATCCAATGAAAACAATCATCAGTTTGTGGTATCTGGAAATATTAACCTTAACCGGTACATGATATTTGCAAATAATGTTTGTTTAAGGACGGAAGAATGACTAGCTCACCTCATATTTAGATCCATTAGGAAAAGTAAGGCTTCCTTGTCCGTGAATCTTGTCGCCCTTCCAAGATCCAACGTATACTTTACCATTAGCGTAGGTGTGTGTACCTTGGCCGTTTCTGCACATCCCATTGGCGTCGTTAGTGTATTCACCGTCTAATGGTTAAAGAGTGACGTTTAACTTTATGTAAACATTCGTATTGTCTATTGTACTTCCCCCTATACCTAAGTCGAAGAATTCCCTCGGATTTTGCCACGCACCAAAGTTTGTGCATCATATCGACTTGCACCTTGCGCGGCTCAGCTAGCGGGCTAACAATGAGCCGCGCTTCAACTTTAAATATTGAAGATCACTGTGTCTGCTAGTAAATTGGTAGCAATAGCGCGCGAAATCTAATGGCGACGAATGCATGTAGTTTGGTCCTCAAGGAGTATTATAGAGAGCGCCCATTGATGCATTAAGATAAATGACAATTACCATTTGCATTATGAAGCCAATACAATTGAATAATAGCCAAGCCTTTTGTCCCAGGGTTAGTAACCCTAAAGCCAATATGGCGGAAGGGCCAATAAAAATTGCATTGTATCGTTGCCATGACATCACGCACAACATCATATCAGTTCTCCAATAGATGGTCTACTTTGAAATTATAGCCAGTATAATGGTGTTGGCTTGCTTGTCAGTAGTCATGTGCATAGTAAATATGCTAATGATATTGGTAAATATTAAATTTTAAAACGATTAAGCCATTATTATTGTTAGGGAGGCAGAATGCGGCATTAATGAGCCCCGGTGCGGTCCCCAATTTGTCTATTAACTAGGAATATTTGTCTATGAACTATGATTATACCACTATTCCCGCGATCTAACCGTCTACGTGCCTTTAATTTATTCAGCACACTGCAAAGGTTAAATCAGCGTCCCAGGCGCGAGGGGCTGATGGTATTAACATTTTAATGACAATTCGAAAAAGGGCCAGGATAATTTACGATACGAAAACTTCTTCAATATTTACCCGATCCACCACTCGATCTTTTAAAGAGTCAGTGTTCCGAATAAAATATCGAGTTACACTAATACTTTAGCGTATAATGTACTTACTGTATTTGTCGCCATTAGGGAAGCAGAATGCCCCGGTTAGAGTCACTGGACCTGAAATAAACCTGTGTTATAATTGCAAAGAAGTGGTAATATATTATATATACACATTCCTTTGAATGGTAGTTATAAAATGTTTCTGCTATCACCACGTATATGATGACGTGCAATGTTTACTTTTCAGAACCTAATCGTGTTAAGCTCCTCTTCAAGAAATGTCTACTCTAATATTTCATCATCAGTATGCGACAGACAGCATCACGATTAACATTTCCATGTAATAGCTCTTTTTAATGTCGGTAAAATCAAAGCTTGAAAGTACACACAGCATCACTTAGTGATGTACAGAACTGCATACAACTGTACTGAAATTCAGAAAATATCGCCGGGCATAATGCATCTTTACGTAAGAAATATGTAAGCATATGATGAGAACTAGACTTCCTGATTTTACCTAAAGCGATGGTTGTCTCCGTCCTAGCAGAGCTGATGCTAGTTTCTATATCGTGGTTCTTGATAAAAGCTCTTGAAACCATGCGACTGGTAGTCATGTCGAGAAAACGTTCAGATGGTCTATTTAAACGATACGCAAAGAGAAGACGAAGAGTGCTGAACTGTAGTCAGAACATGCCGTGCCGCGATAAACGTTTCTTCGTGGGGGTTCTACCGTTATACCGGTCACATGACGTCATACCGATCACATGATCCCGACACGTGATGTACAGCAAGGAATTGTGACGCAGGTAAGGATAAAGGACGTCACGTGTTACCGGAGTTACGATGCAGAGTCACTTGTTATTTAACAAGACCGACCTCCCCGCAGAACTGATTAATGGTGTAATGGGAAATGCTTTGTTCGAACAAACCTTCTGCGGCAGCTCCTTTCTTGCTCTTCTTATCGGCCATGCTTCTCTCGGCTATAAATACATGTTCATTAGAATCACTCTAGGATCTTACTCTTGTGCTCCTTACTTCAATTAATGACGAATTTTATTCAGCATTAAAAACATTATATTTTACTTTATCTGTTGACTGGTTTTTCTAATTAAGTAGGGTAAGTAGCCATTAAAACAACAGTTTACATGAAAAAGTTTAATAATAAATTATCATAATTATAACACATAGACATCGTCAAAAATTATAAAAGTAAAAACCGAGTATAACACAGCTAAGGTTCAGCTATTACGCTTGCTTTTTGGCTAACATAATCATAAATTACTAACATATAAATTATTCTTGGAGGCAAATATTGTCGAAGACACAAAAGTGAATAATAACGGCAAAGAGGTCTCAAATCAAACCCAGATCAACTCTATCACATCAATTTCAATATTATTATTATTATAAATCCTAACAGATCAGTAGAAAACTCACAAAATCAAGTACCAATAACCAAAGACCCAAACTATTTAATTTAACTACTGTCTACGAGTTGCTAACATTACATTCTGAACACACCAAACGGAGTGTCAGGAATTGGGGCGTTGAGTGTAGCGGACAAACTGAGTCCCAAAACATTTCGTGTGTCAGCAGGATTGATAATCCCGTCGTCCCAGAGTCTCGCACTCGCGTAGTACGGGTGTCCTTCCTTCTCAAACCCGGCTTCTACCGGTCCTCGTATCTGTTTTTCCATTTCTTCAGACCACTGCATTCCTGAGCAACATTCCGTCAGATTGTGAAAATACCAGATATTAGTTAATTGTTACGGTACAAATGACCCATAGAAACGCATTACTGCGTTTTTATATTATTACATATAAGCAAATTAAAACTCTTACTTCTAAATCACATCCACCTGAATTGTCTCCACTCCTAATTTACCAATCTCACAAAAGCAAACATTAAAGTAAAACTAACCAGCACGCTCCATCTTGTCCCTACTGATCTGACACAGCACAGAGGCAGCCTGTTTACCTCCCATTACACTTATCCTAGCGTTGGGCCACATGTAGAGGAAACGTGGGCTGTACGCGCGCCCGCACATTCCGTAGTTACCCGCTCCGAAACTTCCTCCCATTATAACTGTTATTTTAGGGACTTTGGCACAGGCCACAGCTGTTACTAACTTAGCTCCGTTCTTGGCAATACCACCTGCTTCGTACTCCTGGAGTTGTTATGCGTTACATGTCAATGTCAATTTCAAAACTATGCTTTCATATAATTTCCGTTGAAAGAAATCCATTTGCATCAAGGAAATGATACAAAAACCTATGAGTGGCTTTGTATAGTGCTATCAAGCAAAACTTTGTACCAGATAAGATTTTACCTTGCCGACCATAAAGCCGGTAATGTTCTGGAAGAAGAGAAGTGGAATCTTCCTCTGGCAGCACAGTTGTATGAAGTGAGAACCTTTTAGAGACGACTCACTGAACAAAATGCCATTGTTAGCGATGATACCCACAGGCATTCCGTGAAGGTGAGCAAACCCTGTAACGAGAGTAGTACCGTACTTCTCTTTAAACTCCGAGAATCTGGAACCGTCCACTATTCGGGCTATTACCTGAGTTTTAGTGGGTTATTTATTGCAATGAACCGTATTATTAGGGCACTGCAGCAGTGCTTGTAAGTGAATGATTATAATCACTTTTAGTCGTGATTGTAGAAATGGCATGTTTGATGTTTTTAAATAATTTGTGTTACGTAAACAGGTTAATTTCTCAAATTGGATTACAGTCAGTATTCATGATTGAATTGGTTAAGGATTGAATAGTAGGTTACCTCTCTCATGTCGAATGTTCTAGTAAGATCAGTCCCAACAACTCCACCAATCTCACTAGGATCATACAGCGGTTCCTCTGACTCCAGAATATTGAGTTGTGGAGAGGGTGGCAGGTGGAGGTGGGACACGTTGTTGCGCGCAATGTGCAGCGCATGGGTGTCGTCCACAGCCAGGTAGTCAGTCACACCAGACTGGCTGCAGTGCATCATGCCCCCACCCAGATCCTCTGCTGATACCTCCTCTCCTGTCGCTGCTTTCACCAAGGGGGGTCCACCCAGAAATATTGTACCTGGGACGGTATGAGCCTCATGATGTGGTTTTATTTTGTAACCAGAGAGCAGTAATGAAAAGACGGATATCCTTTTTATTATTATATTCTTATTATATCCTATTTATTGAACAATTGTGCTTTGGATATCCATTTTTAAGTGTTGCATCGTTATAACGAGTGTACATCATCAAATTATTGCACAATTAGAACTTACGAAACATTAATAAAGAAATTTTATACAGTTGCTTGTCTTTTAACTTGAAAATACAAATAAGCTGCTTTGAAAATGCATTCACTTGGCAGTCTTATTTCTGACGAGTTTTTTTTGTAGAATAAGCAGCCAACTTTTAAAAACTACGCACATAACACCATCTCACTAACTTTGTCTACAGTAGAGAGGTGTCATTAAACAGTGTTTTTATCCAGTACTCTATTTTTACTGTATGTTTACTGTATGTTTACTGTATGTTTACTGCATGTTTACTGCATGTTTACTGTATGTTTACTGTATGTTTACTGTATGTTTACTGTATGTTTACTGCATGTTTACTGTATGTTTACTGTATGTTTACTGTATGTTTACTGTATGTTTACTGTATGTTTACTGTATGTTTACTATAATAAGTTTACTGTATGTTCACTTAACGTTTACTTTACGTTTACTGTATATTTACTGTATGATTAGTGATTACTGCAGGTTAACTGTGTGTATAAGATTAAAGTAATTACAGAGGGTTCCTACCTTGTTCCTTAACAATGATGCTCTCATCCGCCATGGCAGGAACATAGGCTCCTCCCGCAGTGCAGCTACCCATCACAACCGCTATCTGGGCTATTCCTTTGGAGGACAGGTTCGCTTGGTTGTAGAATATCCGACCAAAGTGATCTCTGTCTGGAAACACCTGAAGAAAAAAGCATTTTAAATCTTTTAACTGTGATATTTTGTTAGGAGCTTCATTTTTTACAGTCCCCTGTCCCAGTATTAAAATGTTGATTTATTGCGGTAAGATAACTTCTAGTGAAACTATAATGACCTCAGGTTGGTGAGGGAGGTTAGCTCCACCACTGTCCACCAGGTAAACACAGGGCAGGTTATTCTCCATAGCTATCTCCTGGGCTCTCACGTGTTTCTTAACAGTAATGGGATAGTAGGTACCTCCTTTAACTGTCGCGTCGTTAGCTACAATCATACACTCTCGTCCTGATATACGCCCAATACCTGCACAACAGGTTACATGTTAGTCTTCAGGATTGGTATTTAAACGATTTGAAATATTTAAATGATTTATTCCAAATCCTGAGCTTTAGTATCAACCCAGATCTGCAGTACTTGACCTCAAGGGCTTCTCGAGGTCTTGTTCCACAGCTGTTGAAGTGTAAGACAAAAAACAACCATTATCAGTACACGAACCCCCCTCCATTATCAGTACACTAACCAGTGATGATGCCCCCCCCCCCTCCATTATCAGTACACAAACCAGTGATGATGCCCCCCCCCCTCCATTATCAGTACACTTACCAGTGATGATGCCCCCAGCGTTGACCTCCTCCTTGTACAACTTATAACCAGCCATCTGGGACAGCTCCAGGAAAGGAGAGCCAGTATCGAGGAGAGTGTTGATTCTCTGTCTGACCAGTAGTTTACCCTTGCCTGTGTGTCTCTTCCGCGCATCCGCTCCTCCACCCTCACTTATAGATCCTACTTTACCTTCCAGGTCAGCAACAAGGCTTGCCATTGCAGCTGAATTCTCCTTGAACTGAGCATTCTGCTTCACCTTAACAGGTTTTATTGTGTAAACATTAACGGGTATTTTGTGTAAACATGAGACGAGGACTATATTTTGTAAAAACCTTTTGTTGAATTGAAACGATCGGCACAAAAAGAACATCGGACTACATTAAGAAAAAGTAAAGCATATTACTTTGCACTGTGCAGTGAACAGATGATAGAAGGCTAAGTAGAAAGTCTTACCTTGGAGAGTATAGGAGGGGCTACATTAGTCGAGTAGAGACGATGAAGAGAAGTGAGGTTCCTGATGCACTTCATTCTCTCTGGCTCAGTATTCTGTCTTGTTACATCATTCCTAGATCAGATACTCGTTATTATTGGTAATTTTCCGGTTATGTTCGATACAAACTTTTGAAACGATATGTTTTCACAGGCGGACGTTTCAAACCAATTTTTAAGATAAATACAGTTCTGAATTTCAAATTTTTTGAATTCTTGCGATAAGTCAAATTAAAACAGCACAAGTAATGAGAATAATTATTTTATCCATATTTCATAATAGTGTATATAAACAAACACATTATGCAGCTGCTACTTAACATACATGTACTAACTTTCTGAAATGTAAAATTGTAAAACAGCACTCAGCATTTATCTAAACAATAATAAAACTTACCACAATAACTTTAGAAAATCACAAAACAATATCACTTGAAATTAATTTAAAAACTCTTGATTCCCTAACTCTGGACATCTTAACGTTTTTCAACCAATTATACATAATATGAAAACTAAAAGATATCGAATAATCGAATGTTGCATGATTTTATTAAAAAACAAAAGCCTCCAAGATGCAACATTGACACAATGAAATAGAAACTAGAGTATGCATACACACTGCACACTTTATGCTAATAGAATGTTGGACGGTAAAAGTGTTGATCCCTATCTTTCTAATGAACGAGATTAGATGTTAGCGACTGCTAGATTTCCCGCCAATTGACTGTCACATAGAATTACATTAGCTCAGCAAAGATACACATATTATATCAGATATCAGCCATATTTCATCATACGATTAGGGCTTCTAAACTAATATGGGCGATTTCACGTAAAGTAAATTACACTTTGCACAAAAATTTGGCCTTATTCTGACTCTCAAGCATTACACAAACATAACAGAATCATGATAAATTGCATGAAACATCTCCTATGTACTCCACACACAGCTATATTAAGATTTTTACTCCAACTGCTATGGCTTTTGAGTGAGGCACGTTTGAAAATGTAAAGTAAATTACAGGGCACAAATTGACATTCCTGACCAACGTGTATTGAAATCTCATTTCGTGCCCAGGTGTGAGAGTAAACATTTAAATATTTTTCATGCACACTGGCAAATGTCTTGCCTGTACTGGAAAGGGTTTGTTTTGGTAAATGGTTAATAGCTGTGTTCTGTAGAAGCCTTTGTTCCTTGTAAAGTAAGTTACTCTTTTGTGTCAAGTAGTTTACACTGTTACACAATCCTTTGATTTTAACTGTTTAAAGCTGCCCCTTTGTCTTTAATTCGTTTGCTAAGTGTATGAACTATGTAATATATGATTAATAATGATATATCAGTTTATCATAAGCCAATTAAGGGGGCCGGGGGGGCCTTCATCAAAATTTTCTCGAAATTGACTTTATAGTTGTTTCTAATAGAGGGGAGTGATATCTATCAGATACTTTTGGTTCCATGGAAAAATATTGTTCCTAGACGAAATTATGATCGGTCAAATGTCAGCGCTTATGTGTAATTGTATTGCGCAAGCGATTTTCAATTTTTGAAAATCTTGGACCTCAAAAAATCGTCAAAAAACGAGGTCCAAGATTTTCAAAATCGAATAAAATATGTTTAAAGGCCTATCTCAAAATTCTGTCTGGCTCATCTCTTTTAAATTATCTCTAGAACATATCCTGAAAGTTTCAGGGTGATTGCTCAAAAAATGTAGGAGAATATAGATTTTTAGACTCGATTTTCAGGACACGTGATTGAAAATCGCTTGCGCAATACAATTACACATAAGTGCTGACCTTTGACCGACAATAATTTCGGCTAGGAATAATATTTTTCCATGGGACCAAAAGCATCTGATAGATATCACTCCCTTCTATCAGAAACAACTAAAAAGTCAATTTCGAGGGAATTTTGATGAAGACCCCCGGCCCCCTTAATTGGTTGATTGATCCACTGATTGGGTCCACAGTTAGCCCAGTTATACAGAGTAGGTAGGTGGGCGTAAATGTACGAATGTTTCCCAGCTCAAAAATTTGTGCTCAAGCAGGCCACTGGATTTTCTGTAAAGTAAAGTATTATTTTCGAAAAGTCAATTTTTAACCATTTTTAACCATTTTATAGATTTCTTTAATGAAATTCTGACCAGAACCAATCTATTATCACTTTTAAATAGCTTTTATTCTGTTTGACAATCGTTACTTGTTGTGTTTTACTACTATTACTGAATAAAAAGCATATGTGTAAATTACTTGACACGTAAATTACTTGACATGTAACTTACTTGACGCTGGTATTGACATGATCTGATATCTATGGATCTAAATAAACAAGTACATTATGTCTTGACATCAGAGTTAGCTTGTTTTAGCAAGATTTCAGCAAGAAATAACATGAAATGTGGCCAGCAGAAAACTTTTTTGTTTTTTATGTATAGTAATTTACACTAAAAACAGGAGAAAGTAGAATAGCATTGCTCCGAATCTGCTTAAATTTTGAGTCCCAAATTTTGCATACAGCTTCAGTGAAGTGGTATGCACCTTTACAGATCAAGAATTAATGAATATTACAACAATCTCTTTTTAGTAAACAGCTTTTATTATAGAGTAGTTTTGGCGTGTAAAACATGACAATTTATGGGTATTTTGAAAACGCGATAACACAGAAACGAAGTGAGATATTTATAAGCGGTTTTTTGTGTCTTACAGTTTATGATCTTTTCTTTCAGACTCCAATCAAAGCTAGTTTCATAACTGAAATTTATTTTTTCCCCTCCTTGTTCATGTTTCATGAAATTGCCCATATATACCCTTACACAAACACTTGCATGAACAAACACACTCACACACACACAAACACTCACAAACACTCACACACACACACACACACAAACACTCACACACACACACACAAACACTCACACGAACAGACAAACATCCACACTCACTCACACACACACACACAAACACTCACACGAACAGACAAACATCCACACTCACTCACACACACACACACAAACACTCACACACACACACAAACACTCACAATCACTCACTCCCATACAAAAGCCAGTTTAGACAAGTCTAAGAGGTTTGAGCCCCAAAACATCTGGTAAGCACTTTAATGTTTATTGTTTTTGCTGTCACCAGTAATTATTAACTATATTATTAAATTCGATTGTGTGAATTTACAGCATTTATCTTAATTATTTATTATCTTCGGGCACAATAAAATACATTTGATGCCAGGGTATTTTATGAATCGACCGTTTGTTGATTCAGTTCAGCAATCTCAAATTTGAATTGCCGCACGTTTGATAATGTACTTAAAATCTAAAATCGAATCTAAGCTGACCCAGTCAACGCTAAATAAAGTAAAATATTCTCAATTATTATCTTCTGAACGGTTACAAGTTAAGCAGTTATCTGAAATTCATTTGTAGTTCCATATCATGAATAGTATGCAAAACATTGCTAATTACTGAAATACGAGGAATGAAAATATTATCTATATCAATATTAATAATCCAAAATTTCTTTAAAGCTTGATATTTCTGTATCATTAATATTCAAAGCCATTTGATCACTTTATACAGCCTTTGATTAGAAATATTACTAAATTTTTCATTACTAAATTATATCAAGAATAAGCCCTTGCAAACTTATTGTTCATCAGGAATAGTCACTCATGCATGAAAATGGAAACGTTACAAATTACTTTGGCCAGGTTATAAGTCATTATTAGTCATATTATATCAAAATTATTGTAGGGGAAATAATTCATGCTCATCAAAACAACTATAGTAGAAATAAAGGAAAGGCTTGATATTCCTAGATAACATAATACTAACTAAAATAACTTAACAATATCATCCACCCATACAGTTACTTGATCAGCTGGAGAGAAGAGAAGTCTTTCATGTCAATAACGGAGGTGATTGTGCCCCACATGCTGTCTTTACCGATTACAGAGTCCCTGTGCCACTCCACATAATTACTCCAGTACTTCTTGCACTCTTCTTGCCAGTATGTGCCCTTTTCTTTGTCAGCACCATTCGTAAAACTGTACAGGATCAGAGCTAGGTGACCTAAATTCTTCTCCATGGGTGAGATATAGTATATCTGAAAAGGTAGGGTTGAAAAAGGGTCACAAGCATATTCTACGAGATATTTTGATTTTGTGTTTTTTTTTTTCAAATCCCAGATTCACAAACACTGAACAGCTGCACGTTATTATATAAAACTGGAGCCAGATATAATTCATATTTTCATTTTGCATGACAATGTCAATATAGCATTCAAGATCTGCCAATATGTTCAATTGTGAATTGAGCACGTTATAAATTTTAGAATTCGACGATTCAGATAGTCCATCGCAAGTACACACGCATACTGTATAATCTTACTATATATAAAGCGAGACGATATATATATATATATATATATTTATTTATCCGTGCCATTTTACTGACACCACGGCATCAACTTTAACACGACTTTCCGCAAAAATCGTAAAAGATATACAACTGAAATTTTTTTGACGGGTCAAATGCTTTAATGGCCTTCAAATCAGCATGAAAAAATAAAAAATTGGCCAAGAAATAGGAGTTTTAGAGCCCAAAATTTGGACCCCCAAGTGGTGTCAAAAACGCGAATTAAATAGGTAATAATTATTTTAGTCTCTTGAGTCTTGACACCACTTTAGGGTTAGACGGGTTCCTGCTAGTAGTAATAGTGTAAGTGCAGTGCATATGAAAATACACAAGTTCAATTCTGTAACCGTACAGTTTTCTTACAGTATACAAGAACGGGATTACGACTATAAATTATCTAAATTAAAGTTCATTTATCATTCCACAAATTTTCTTGATGCCGCAGCCACAGACTTCTAATCGCTAAAAGCTTTAAATGACAAGATAATTACAAATTTAGAGGCCAGTTATTCACGGCAGTGGTATATAGTACTTACAACGTTCTGAGAGACAAGTCCCTTTTCCATCATGTCAAACACGTGTTTCCTGTTCTTAACCATCATCTCCATTGCTGTCTCATAATATTTTATCTTCAACGTGTGGTCGCTGAAACGAATTTCAAATAATACAACGGAATGAAGAAAAAAAAAACTCATTTAACATAATATAATCTATTTTATAATTCTAAAAATTATCTTTGTATGTCTGAATCATGCCGTTACCGCGGGCTTTCTGGTAAATATATATAATAAATATAATCCAAGAATTTTGAACAGCAAATATACTTACTTTACAGAGTTGGCTCTGTTCCAGAGCCAGACAGAAGGTTTAGTGTAAGTCTCCAACATACTCATAGCCATAGTATACTCCCAGGTTTCGGACTCATATCTGTCCAGATCAGGCAGAGGATATACTTCCAGATTTATCTGAAAATTATTGGAAATTACTTCAAATTATTATTTCAAAGTATAACATATCAAAGCGATAGATACATGTCCAAGCGAAAATAAAAGTGTTTTCAATTTCCGATCCACGTGACTGAAAACCCCTACTTTAGATAGTATAGGTAAGGCCTGGGGGGGGGAGGTATATCAACATTCAATATATCATTGTATTTTTAATGCTCACCACAGGAATAGTAGTGACATACTCCAGAGGGTCCACGTTGTCTGATACTCTGATGAACTTCTGACACATACCAAAGGGCCATCCCTCGTAGTGACCCGCAATACTGTTCTCTGCCTCTGGTACTGCTACACACATGTAGACAGGATACCTGGTGCGGATAATAGAGTCACGTGTTGAGTGTTAACACGTGTTGTCACAATGGAGTCACGTGTTGTCTTGCTTTTCTCACAGATGGACAAGTAACAGGTGATTTAAACTAAATTAAGAGCTCTCTCCACTCACTTGGTTAGGTTTTCGTCCAGGAACTTTTTGAGGTTATAGAAAGGATATGTGGAGTCTAATCCGGGCTTGTAAAGACCAGGGAATGAAACATCAGGGAAGTTAACTGGCATGAGCATTATGTAAAACCAGTAGGCTTGCATGAACTGCATGTCCATTACCATCACATCTGTCCGGTACTCTTCACCTGGTAGCAGCATTGTTTTAACACTTATTCAGGACAAAACACACAGCATCTAACCACCTTATCAAATATCAACTACATTGACACGTATAATAGGTTACTGGATGGTAGTAGGCAAGACATATCAATAATTCGTGAGTGAGATGAATCACTATTCGATATTTGCAATAATTTAGAGACTAGAGAGTTGTACACAGTCTACAATAATTAATAAAGCAGTTACCAATAGTGTGGTATCTGAATGTGTTGGTACTGAAGTCCCCGGAGGTCAGGAGAATGGTTTGTTTTGGCAACTCGTCCAGGATGTGACGAGAATAGTGCCAGAAATAGTGATTGTCATTTTCGTTGCAATCCTCATAATTGTGTTGCACCTGAAAATCCAGCTCGTCATTTTACGTGATAACATTTCAGAGTTTTGAATCGACGTTAAAATTATTGGTATTTTATGATTTCAACTTAACCTATAAAGGCTAAAAAATAATGTAATTTATCTAACAAAAACATAATTTCTTTTCAGTACCATCATGTTGATGTTATAATAACTGAATTAACATAAATAACATAAATAACATAAATAACATAAATAACATAAATAACATAAATAACATAAATAACATAAATAACATAAATAACATAAATAACATAAATAACATAAATAACATAAATAACATAAATAACATAAATAACATAAATAACATAAATAACATAAATAACATAAATCACATAAATTACATAAATTACATAAATTACATAAATTACATAAATTACATAAATTACATGACCCAACGTTAACCTACCACTGATTGTAGCCTATAATAATAACTTAACTAACCTGGTAACCAATAGCAAGCACAGCCAGGGATAGGAACAGATACTTCAGGGCAGGACACTGAGCTTTACTCTTTAGGAACTCAATAACCATCCCAACCCCACATCCAGCAATACAACACAGTGCCAGACTGGGCTGCAACCAGAACCTCTCCAATACACCGTGGAATATTCCTGATATAAATTTGGTTAGGGTCTATAATTAGCATTTAGCACGTATGACTATGAGTCTTTACTTATAGTACTGGAAAATTGGTTTAAACTTCAATCAATTGACATTAAGGCATATATAAATTGGATACCGGATAAGTGAACATTGTTTCAAGGGCTATTTTTATCGTTTTAAATTAAACATTTTAAATATTCTCCTTTCTAACCTGATGGGTTCTTGATATTGGCGAGTGAATCGAAAACAATATGGTATGTGCCGAACATAGCCATGTAAACTAACATCGTCTCCTTTTGTTTACTTGAACCCCAAATCAGAGCTATTGCCATTCCAACTACAAACAATATCCATCTGGATATATAACATATAAGTTGAAAGAACTGATAGTCAACGACAGGGAAAGAAAATAATCTAATTATTTGATTTGATTAATAGAAAGGTTAGGGTTGGGAATGGTCTACTATCATAATTGTGTTATTTGCAACGTTAAAAATGTTACAAAAAGACTTACGCAGCTATAGTGAGCTCATTTCTGGAGTCATTGAAGTAAACCATGAAGTTATCAATCAGTGTGGACTGCTCAGTGCTGCTAACCAATCGGAATGTTCCGAAATCTTCTCTCAGGAGATGTTTCTTGAAGTCAGAGAACAAGCGGTGGTCGCCCCATGTGACTCTAGCTTTAAAGAAGATGGAAGATATGGGAAGTTGGAGGTAGGGCGAGAGTCCAGCTAGTCCTCGGAGTCCCACTTGGAAGAGTGTATGTGTTTCTGCTAGGTCGTATTTAAACATTGTATACAAGACCTGAGTGAAAAAAGTCATGTAGACATTAGATAACAATAAAAGTTAAATAAGTCACAGTTCAAAGTTTAATTAGTTAAGATAAAATTATGGCGTTTCTCTCAAACTCTAGTCACTAATACGATTTTTAAGAAGACGTGTGAAATCAAAAAATGTAGTTTAACTTACCCATAATGCAGTAGGAAAAATATATAATACTGATGTATGTTGGTTAGTTAGCGATAAACCACATAGAAAAGCACCAAGTTTTGCTTCGTAATATTTTCCATTTCTTCCCTCGGCATTTGTAAACCTCCAAGCAGCATACATTATGACCATGATAAATAAGTTGCTCTGAAAAAAAAAAATAATTTGATTCAGCTTCATGATTCAGTGTAGCAGTGACAGTTACCTAAATTAACATCGACAATATGAAAACAAGATGTCTAGCAAAAGGCTAAGACAAGAATTCTAGCAAAGGCTTGAACTGTAAGTGTAATGAACACGACAGCAGACTTACCAAACTGAAAACTTCTCCCTGAATGCTCCACATCCAGAAAACTCTGCTAAAACCACACCAGCCTGCAGCTAGCACCCCAGCAGCATCTGAACCACTAAACCTCTTAACGTTGATGAACATCATCATATTTGTTATTCCAGCAATTGTAGACGACATTAGATTGAGCTTCCAAGCACAGCTACCAATGGGAAAGAGATTGATCATGATAGCAGCCATAGTGGTAAACAAAGGGTAACCAGGTGGATGGGAAACTCCAAAGTCTTTAGCAGTGGACATCAGCTCCCCTGAGTCACCTCCTGGTAAGCCTGGATACATGGTGAAGATGTAGAGGGATGCTGACCCCAAAAACACCTGGAAGTGAAGACTTATTCATTAATTTGTAGTCAATCTTAGTGTGTTTATATTTAATCATGATGGTGAGGCGAGACCCTTAGTTTGGCTCTAAATTGTTCCTGATTCAATTTTAAATATTAATTATTAAGTTAATAAAACTCACCAATGAAGCCAAAATCTTTTCTTCTTTATCATAAAACAGAGGTTCTGGTTCATAACTATCTAATTCTGGATCATCTGACGGCTTTCCTGAGCGCTTTATAGCACCGCGTGGTGTTTTAGTGGCTTTCCCTTTCCCTTTTGCCATGTGCCCTTCAAAAAGTGGTATCTTAGAAATAAAATCTTAAGAGACAAAGCCAAATTAAATCAAGAATCAATTCAAAGTGGAGCCACAAGATACCACAAGAGACTCGCTGAAAAACTATCCCAGAAGAGAGGAGAAGACTATGCGGCTATTATGTGTTACATGCGCACCAGGATTAGATTCTCAATCCTCAGGAGCACCCTGATAGCGGTCAGGGGTGAGAGAGGGAGACGGCAATCGTATACATTGCCAGTCAGTGTAACTTCGTTTAACTTGATACCTGCCACCATGGACTATGAATGTTTCTAGACACTATCCTTTTGATATTGAGATATTGGTATCTCAGATCACGTGTACATCGTTCCTTTTTTTTAATTTAATGCATATATTGTTTGAATGACCTTTTCCCATTCAAAGTGGATGGGTAGAAATTTTAATCGAGTGAACAATAGTTTGAAACTGAGCATAAAAAGTTAAGCTCTGTCACTAGTCACTGCTCTGCAGAGTAGGTTTTATCTTTAGACTGGCATCTAGAGTAATAGAAAAGAAAGATATTGGCTAACCTGCCTTACACAGCACTCAAACACCTGGCATGTATGTGATATTTGAAGTTGGTGACATGTATGTCCAGTGATATTTGAAGTGTAAGGATCAGAAGATCAATCTCTCGTTTCTTCACTACTTAAGGAAAGAAAAATGTCTACATTCAGGTTATAAGGGAAAATGATCATCAAAATATTACACATGCACAAACCTGTCGCAATCAAGATACATCTGTAAAACAAAATTATGAAACAGTGGCCTTGTGCAACGACTGCTATACTACCACTGCACTGTCCAGAGGGCACCTTAGAGGGCAGCATTATTCCAAATTGTAGGCATTTAAAATATAAAGAATGTCCGATTCGTATATTATCCTGTTCATTTTAAGGTCAAGTCTACACAAACAAAATATTTCGCGTAAATTGGGGTATAAATTAAAGGAGGTTTTTTATTACAGGTCAAGCAGTGAGAGAGAGAGAGAGAGAGGGTGGGGAGAAAATTACAATCGGTCTCAGCAGCTGTGTGTCGTGATCAAATTAGACCTTGTATAAATTTCGGCTCTTACTAATTCGCTCGCCCAAAAATTTCACCCTTATCACAACCCTAACCCTAACCACAACCCCGAAGCTAACCATAACCCTTACCACAACCCTAACCCTAACCCAAGCCCTAAACAATCGAATTCATGTTTTACTAGCCTGTCACGTGACCAAAACAGTTTTTTGCCCATAACTCTCTGTGGAAACATTGTTACACTACGTCATGTGGAGTGATTCGGAATCAGCGTCAAAAAATACACCGATTCAGATCAATTTCACACCCCAAAGGGCCTTTTCACAAGAATTTTCTTAAAATTTGGGCAAGCGATTTAGTAGGAGCGATAAATTTCAGATAGACCTGCTGCTGTGATATTACTGTGCAATTACTAAGGATAATTAAAACCACCAATTTAACCACCCTCTGTTGACCAGGACTCTGTGATTAAGCAAAGAAATATGCTCAAATGTTGCAAACAAACTATGAGCAATTGGAATACTTTTAAAGGAGAATCAAAAACTAAAAACGCTACTGTCTTAATTCTCCTTGTAGCGCGATGCACTACTGGGTCGCGCGCGCATCAAATAATGCTTCTCGGTAGATCGGCGAGATGCACCACTGTGCCTCACCGAGCTGCGAAGGATTGACATCGTGAATCAATAATTCTCCATGAAAAGCAATGCACTACTGGGCCGCGCCGCGCATCAAATAATTCTTCTCGGTAGATCGGCGAGATGCACCACTGGGCCTCGCCGAGCTGCGAAGGATTGACATCGTGAATCAACTGTCAACACTATGGTCTGCGTTGACCATTGTTAATGGTCTGGCCCGGCGCGCGCTACTTCGTAGCACTTGCCATCTTCGAAGAAATTTAGACGAGTAACCTCCGTCAATGGTCTGCGAAGACCGTCAACTTTGGGGTCGTTCGCATATTACGTAATCAGCCGAGGGGGAGGGGGTTTCCAAATGCTTACGGTTGATTACGGGGGGGTTGGTCATTGATTACGTAATCAAAATTTTCGTTTTTTCCCCTCTAGAATAATAGCAATTTGACATAATACAGTTGTAGGTTTACAACCTACCAGGACGCGCGCCGAGTTGGACTCGTCGACGGTCCTGGTAGGTAGAAATACGACTCAATTACGGCTTGACATACGTTGCATGCCACTTTTCGCGCGCGAAGCGCGCGCCGCCGAAGGTACATTCGGTACACGTACTCAAGTTCGACACGCAATCTAGTTCGTCACTTACTGTAGTTCGACAAACCCTGAGGTTCGACTCTGTCGAACTAAAGTGCTCTATCTTGACTCATCAAGTTCGACACGCACAAAAGTTAGACAAGAGAACTTTGACTGTCAGACTAGAGTTTTGAAATCTCTAATATCAAGCAACTATCCTTTACGAGCTTGAAATTTATTCTAGTTTGTTTGTTTTCCACTTGTCTCATGCTGTTCAATTATGTGTGTATGTAATTCCTATTATCCATATTTATATGATCTATGTAAGTTCAACTCTTACTTCGTTTTATAGATCTAGATTGTAGATTATGCTTGTGAGTTGAATAGTGAGCTAATTAGTGATTCACTCCCGGCGCGAGAACAAAGCGCCAGGAAAATCACTCCTGCGCGCAGTGTTGTGACCTCCCTTCGTCGTAATTAGCTCGTATTCAGATTGAACAATTTTGAAGTCAAATAAATGTTGTTTCTTTTAGACTTAAATAAACAATATGGATGTAGTCTGAAAGTAATTTGTCTACTAAATAACATTTTGAAACTATGAACAAAATTGGCGAAAATTTGCCGTAGATGTGACCAAAAAACTACGCGCAGAACTAAATATTTCTTCATAGACGCGTGAAAATTTTTGAGTTTAACATTGAATATTTTAGCTTGGTTATTGTAATACTTAATTTTCAAGTCTCTATCCGATAACTAAATATTTTATCTTTACGACAGTATAAAATTTGTTTGTATATTTGCTAAATTAAAAAAACAGTAGGAATAGAAACGTCGAAGGTCTTGCGCTTATTTCAGTCCCAAAATATACTCTAATCATAAACTTCATAAAACCCACTGAAAATGATGTCTACAGGCATATTAAGCCCTTACACCTTCCCAAATCATTTAGCAAGGATTCAGAGCCAGTTTTTAAAATTAGCTTTCGAATATCATTGTTAAGACATAAAACTATAAATAAATGAGTGCCTTTTTCTCTTTCGTCTCGATAGTTTCTCTTTCATTTTAACATTATACATTAGTAAAAGCAATCAGCGATCTTTATTAATCATTGAAAGAGTAGAGTAATTGGTCCTCGTCAATGTTTAGTGTCTGATTACAGTTTCGGTCCGACCTCCACAACTGAAAAGATATTGGGGGTATTATCAGTTATGTAAATGGAAAAATTATATTTGCATCATAAAACTATGAAAACATTGAAACTAATGTTTTTGAAGGCTCGCCTATTCGTTTAAGCAATCAAATAGTCAGTGCATGCACAGTAAAGAACAGTTGAAGGCACCGGGAATGTTTCAAATATAACCTCTGTCTACTATCAAGTATCAGACCACACACTCCACTATCCACTATGTACTATAATGTACAATGGCAATTAAAATGTGTTCCCGCCATTTTAAAATCCGCGCATCTTGCGCCGTGACCATGACGGTCACAGCGCATGCTGGTGAACGGAGGTAGGCTGGTGAACGAGTTATTGGGACAAAATTGGAACATTTTGGAACATTGGTTACATCGGTTGTAGACATGCAGTGATTCCCAAACTTGGTTTGAGTGGTCCTAGGACCAATCTAAACGCTTTCCGGCCAGTTTTAAACCGTTCTGAGCACTTTTAGTTTTAGGAGAATATTAATTTTTGTTCATTTTCGTGCATTCCATGAACCTGGGTAATTTTCATGCTCATTGGAATTTAGAAGGTAAAATAACTCACATAACAGTGCTCCCGACAAGTTTCACGGATATAGTGATTGAGTTTCTAGTCACCTAGCCTCTTGGCCTGAAAGATTTCTTGTTCGGCAGGGTGACTGCTTGAACGTCAACTTCAACCTTTCCCACTGTGCACTGCATCGAATCGAGGTAGAGTTGTTAACTGAAATATTACATTCAGTCTAGCGACCTTTAAATCTGGGTCAAACTTAGTATTTCTGAAAGTTTCGCAAAATGTTATTGATTACAGAGGGTGTGTCACGCCACTCTCTCCTTAAGATCTTGCAGATGTTAGCACCATACCGTACCTGTTCATTATAATAGCCCTAGACTATTGCATGAGACAAGCCTTAAGCAAGCACCCTGAAATAGGATTTACCATTTAGCCTTATAGGAGTAGGAGAGTCAAGGTGGAGAAGATATCGGTCACTGGTTTTGTGGATGACATTGCTCTGATAGCAGATACTGAAAAGGAGACAGAGACGCTGATGCAAGAGATAGAAAGGGTTGCTGCCACAGTGGGACTTAGAATGAATGAAGGGAAAAACTAAATTCATTACTCAGAACATCGAGAACCCTGATACCATCAAGTCTCTGGGTAACCATGCTGAAAGAAAGCCTGTCTCTGAAGAAGGAGAGACGATAAAAACGTGATGCGATACGGTATGTTGAAATAAAGCCTGTCTCTGAAGAAGGAGAGACGATAAAAACGTGATACGATACGGTATGTTGAAATAAAGCCAGTCTCTGAAGAAGGAGAGATGATAAATACGTGATACGAAACGGTATGCGAAAGCTATGTAGTTGATCAGACTTAAAGTTACGTGTTCTTAAGAGGGTGAGAGGTTCTTTAGTAAGGCCGACTGATTAAATGAGGCTCTGAAATGAACAGGAATCTAGCAATAATAGCATGGAGAGTGGGGAAATCAAAACGCGGAATAATAATCTAACTCTAAGTTAACGATAAACTGGTACAGAAATCAAAAGTCCGA